GGGGGCGGGGGGAGGGAAATAGGGAAATGTTCGGAATTTAAACTTTGCCAGAATGAAGCGAACTAGGGACAGGTTCCTTAAGGAGGCCAGGTCACTTCTAAATAATGCTCACTGCTGGGCAGCGCATTGTACTAAACACCCTTGATACTGTTACACTGGTTTACGTTCAAAACAACTCCAAAAGGAAATTGTTATTTTTATATGCTAAATGAGGCAACAGAGACTCAGAATTTTGGTGCCGGTCCAAAATAGTACATCTGGCAGATGGACAGAGCTGGCACTGAAACAGGGCTGGCATGTGTTCACAACAGAATATGGCCAAGGTGATCATGTGTGACTTCCAGGGCTGGATTATACAGACTATTGCTACTTCTGCGTTGTCTCCGATTGCTCCCTGTGGAGAAAGCCAGTGGTCATGTCCTGCAGACACTCAAACAGCCTTGTAGAAAGGCCTATATGAAGAGGAACCAACTTTTCAGCCAGGAGTGAGCCTCTTAGAAGTGGATCTTCTGGTCCCAGGCAACCCTTCAGATGCCTGCATGTGATGAAAGACCTCGAGCCTGAACCACCCAGCCAAGAAACTCACAGGTTCCTGACCAGAAAATTGTCAAAGGGAATAAATGATAACTCTTATTTTTAAGTTTTAGGGTGATTTGTGATGCAGCAATAAGTAGCCAACATACCTTCTGTACAAATAAACCCTTGTCCTGGTTTCCAGACCTAACCCAATCATAATGTGTGTGCCTTGGGAGCTCATTCTACTTCTCCAAAAGTCCATTTCCTTATTTGCCAAATGGGTGTTTGTAGAAATTTGGGAATCAGAACTTAAAAAGTGTAGCAATTTCAAAAGCTCTTTTTATTAGTGATCTGGCTAGCCTGGCTTAAAATGTCCAGGCAGTGGTCAATTCCTGGTTACTACTTGGGATTCAGTAGGCTCGAAAGCTTTGCTTGCTCTTCCTTTCCACCAATTGCTATTGCTGTTACCCTGGACACTTTCAAACAACACTTTGGGCCTTAGAGGAAAAATTACATCTCTTAATTCTAGCCATGCTCTCTGGCTTCCCAGTTACATAAGAAAGGCTCTTCTTTGAACAAATGTGCCTTGAAGTATGCTACATATAAAAAGCCAGAGGAAAAAAGATTTTACTATCAATGCCAATAGCTAGCATTTCTTGTGCATACAGTATGTGCTCAGTGTTGTGGAAATCCCTCAAAGACCACCAGGGCCACACCTGAACTCATACAAAGTTAAGTTTAATTAGCTTGCTACAGCAAGAGAGAGCATACACCAGAGGGTGTCTCCATACAAATGAGTTGGGTAGGGCTTGTTATAAGATTTGGACTTATGCTGGGAGATTTTAAGTGGGCATCAGGGAAGTTGGGACTTGTTTTGGAATGCTATCAAGAATCAAGGACATTGGGGGGTGCCTGGGTAGCTCAGTCGGTTGAGCGACTGACTTCAGCTCAGGTCACGATCTCACAGTTTGTGAGTTTGAGCCCCGCGTCGGGCTCTGTGCTGACAGCTCAGAGCCTGGAGCCTGCTTCGGACTCCGTGTCTCCCTCTCTCTCTGCCCCTCCCCCACTCATGCTCTGTCTGTCTCAGAAATAAATAAACATTAAAAAAATTAGAAAAAAAGAATCAAGGACATTGGGCATCTCAAAAATTTTGCTCTGGAGACAAGAAGAACGAAGTGAGACTCAGGATGACGTTGGGATGAAGGCAGAAATTACTCAGAAGAAGGAACTGTTAGTCATTTCGTGGCAGTCGTGTGGCCTTGGGTATGATATGTTAGAAACCTTGTGTTGACGTTCCATTATAAACACTGCAGTCTGATTACTAACAATTCATTTTCACTCTTTCGGTTTATTTTCCCGCTTAATCTTTATAACAACCCTGTGTGATAATAGTATAATTATCTCCATTTTACAGTCAAAGGGAAAAAAAACACAGAGAGATTACATAACTTAAATACGGTCACTCAGCCAGTAAAAGCTAGAGCCAAGATTTAAATTTCAGCAGTGTGAGCACAGGGCTTATGCTCTTAGCAATTTTGTTTCCTTGGCTCTCTGTGACCAATATGTTACTTCCCTTGCGTAGACTCTCTCTGGCTAAAGTGGAAAATTGGTAAGAAAACCTATCACACCCAGTGGTCCGTGAGGATTGAGGAGGTGGCTATTCACCCTAGCCTTTGCCCCTGGTGCCAACTCTCTCCTGGTCCATAATAGAGGCCTTGAGTCAATGAAACCCTTAGCAGGCACCACTGCTTAACTAGAACTTAGCAAAGTGTGCTTTGTCTGCTGGTACATAGCACGCATCTCCTGTGTGCCAGCCGGCCTGAGGTGTCATCATATTTGATTTTGCCATGGCAGTATGCTCCTAAGTGGCAAGGACCAGGTCCAGTTCTTGAGGGAACCAGTCAGGACTCCTTTACGGCACTCGGGCACGGAGCTCAAGATGCCTATCCTTTCTGATGTCATCCTTCAGATCCACCTCTACCCCTAATAGCACTTTTCCTGTCTGGGACTTCAGTTCCTTGTTGGAACAAAGAAAACCCCCACAATCTGTTTTTAGTACTACGGTTCTATACTTCTTACTCCTCTAATTAAAAAAGCTGAGATAACCAATGTTCCCCTTATTGAGTAGGACATTAAGAATAGTTTCACTTCTGAACTTCTAAAGCCATGTCCAACAAAAGAGATTCACCACAGAAGGAGTAGGTTTCAAACCAACAGTTTATTGGAAATATCTTTGCTACGTGTTTCTGCCATTAGGCTCTTCAGCTAGTTCTTACAATGTTTGTGATATGTCCTATATGCTTGGATTATTGCAGAATAATTAATTTTTCATTGTTGGCTAATTTGCATTTTATATTCATTTATGCTCTCTCTTAGTTCATAACATGCCTTATATTTGAAATTAAAAATCTTTTTGAAGTGAGCTTAGACTTTCATTCAATTAATCGTGGCTTTCTTCCCTTTTTTCTAAAAGTTGTGAGAATTTAGCATGTTCTAAAATCAATACAGATCTTATGAAGGTGATTTGAGTATAGGACAGGGCAGTAGATGAAATGAACTTTAAGAAACCTTGAACTTTGAGACTCCATTGCTGGCTGCATAGAAAGCTTAAAAGACCATGCTGCAAAATCCACAGATGCTCATTCAGTAAGATGATGAATTCTGCTTCAGTGTCCTCCAGTAAGACCAAATCACAGTTTTCACTTTCAATATAAAGCTTTTGACAACATGATTTTATTTATAAATTCTTAAGTCAGCTCACAGACTTTAGGGGTCCAAGAGATGACCAGACTGAAAAGCCTAAAAAAAGAGAAGAAGACAGAGGAGGAGGAGGAGGAGGAGGAGGAGGAGGAGGAAACGTAGGGGAGGAGGAGAAGGAGGAGATGGAGAAAGGGGAAGAGTGTGGCCATGTAGTGATGTGGGTTTAAAGTTTCTCAGCGTCCTGTCCCCCCTATGTTGCATTCAGAATGGTTCTGAACCTCAATGTAATTAAGCCCATCTACATTTCTCTAAAATTCTTTGATGACTGAACAGAAGTGTTAGTTATCTCCAATGGGGCATCACATCCCAGGGGACCAAATGCTTTAAACCAAAGGCAGGCCCTTCTCCCCAGTCTTTCTTCTGATGCCAGTGAAGTTCTGATGGCTAGAGTGTGACTCTAGACCAGTGAATATTCTTGTCACCTGGAACCACGGTCAGGGTGTCCCCTCTGAGCCCAGAAGATACAGAGTCTCGAGAAATTCATAGGGGCTGAGTTCATTTGGGATTTTTGATCATTCTTGGAAGGGGTCCCAGAAGAATGAGAAACAACCAACATGTCACTCTTGCTGAGTGGCAGGCACCGCTCTAAGGTCTTTGCGTATGTTAAGTAGCTCCTCGCTTATCATTGTAGCTACTATTATTTTCATCCTCATTTGCAGATGTGGAAATCGAGCCACAGAGAAAACAAGCAGCTCATTCAAGGTCAGAAACCTTAAGTTTGTTAAGTAAGTGGTAGATTCGGGAGTTGAGCCCATGCAAGGTGACTCCAGAGTCCAAGTGCCTAACTGCTCTGTGGTACTGCCTCTCTCCCAAGAAGAAAAAGCCACATGACATGCTACTGGAACACTGAACTTGGCTTTCAGAGGTTGCCCTGGACAAAGACAGGATTGTCGTGTTCAGTCTGCATCTTTAGAGACGTAATCAGCCTGGATCAGAATCAGTCGGGCTCAAGAGAGAGCAATGAGGTCAATAGCTTGAGATGCTCACTCACTTATCCCTCGTATAACCTTCTTGTCGGGAAAGAAACAGGAGGCTCTGTGATGTCCTGCATCAGTGCCTTTCAAAACTAAAGGTACTTGGACATTACCTGGAGGATCTTGATAAAATACAGAGGCTGATTTTGTAGGTCTGAGGTGGGGCCTGAGAGTCTGCCTTTCTACCAAGCCCGTGAGGTCATGTAGGTGCTGGTGAGCAGACCAACTCCGAGTAGCAGCATTGTAGAAAGAATTCTGAACTTGGGATCCAACCTAAAATGACACTAAGTCACTTTACCTCTCTGTTTGTCCATCTGTGAGATGGCAGAGGAGCAGGGTTTTTTCAGCTGAGGTTCCTTCCAGGCTTTTTAAGTCAACTTCTTTGTAGAAGAGAGAATAATGGTTCCTAAAGTTATCCACATCCGAATCCCTGGAAGCTGTGAATGTGTTCTGTTACATGGCAAAAAGGACTTTGCAGATGTGATTAGGGTTGAGGGTCTCAAGATGTAGGAAGGATCCTGGGTTATTTGGGTGGGCCTTAAACGT